ACTTGGGAAAATAAATGCTCAATACTGGCAATACTAATTTGTAGAAGATGCTTGATTTGCCTGTCTCAGATCAGTTTGAGATGATGGTGGCCAGTTTCAATTATTTAACACGCAGGTCCGTAATGTGATACAGCCAGGGTAGAAGTCAAAGGAGAGATCCATGATTGCCTGGTACAGGTAGTCCTCAACAACCACATTTGGGACTCAAACTTCTGTTGTTAAGTACAGGAAATCCTCGACTTCCGACCACAATTGAGCCCAAAATTTATGTTGTTAAATGAAAATTGGTTAAGTGAATCTGCCCCATTTTACAAACCCTCTTTTGCAAGTTGTTAAGTGAATCACTGCAGTTGGTATGTTAGTAACACAGTTGTTAAGTGAATCTGGCTTCTCCACTGAAATTGCTTGTCAGAAAGTTGCAACAGATGATGATCACATGGCGCCGGGATGCAGCAATGGTCATAAGTATGAACCAGTTGCCAAGCATCTGAATTTTGATCACATATCATGGGGAGGCTACAAAGGTTGTAACTGTTGAAAAACGGTCATACTGTTCTGACCCACGCCCATTTCCAACAAATCAACCACAATCCAAAGGGAACAGAAACCTTGTAATGGTTTTGCAAAATAATTAGCTATGATAAGCACAAGCCTTACCAAACTGTGCGAGACTTACCAAAAGATAACAGACAAGAAATAATTTGCAAAATAAGAATCTTCAAATACAAACTCAGGATACTGGAATGTCCACGAGGCTGGAATTTCAAAATGTCTTTGCTTTCTGCAAAGTACGTTCGTTTCACAGCTGGCTTTTATCTTCTTGAAGGAGGGGCCATTACCTTGCAGCCTTACTCCTGAGTCGCCCGTGCTGTTGTAACTGCTCTTTCCTATGTGCACTTGGCACAGGCTCCTCGGGAACCTCCTCATCACTGCTGCCAGCCCCCACAATCTCTGAAGACAGCAGTCCACTCCCTAATGGTCCTGGCCCCTCATCTGAGTCCTCGCTCTCCTCAGCCATCTGCACCTGCTGCCGGCTAACCAACACTTACGTCACTTTTTTCAGTGCCGTTATAATCTTGAATGGTCACTAAATGAACTGTTGAAAGTTGAGCACTCCCTGTATGGTGATTGTTAAGTAAGTCATGCCCAATTTTATAACCTTTTTTTTTACCGTGGATATTAAGTGAATCACATGTTTGTTAAGCAAACTCAGCTTCCCCCATTACCTTTGCTTGTTGGAAGCTACCTTGGAAGGTTGCAAATAGAAATCACATGATCCCAGGACATTGCAATTGGCCACTGGCATGTATTTATTATAACAAGTGCTCGAAATTTTACTGCACGACTGTTTATCCACCTAGTACGGATGCTGTGTGACAAGTGGTTGTAAGTCACTTTTTCAGTGGCATTATAACTTTGAATGGTTATACACATCGTTGTAAGTCGAGGATTATCTGTAATCATAGGCAAAGATCACCCAGAGAAAGCAGATGTAAGGAACATCAGCTCTGTTTCCTGGGCCCTGCATTAGTGCTTATATGGATCATCCAAACAGCCTTATTTTCTGCTTTGAAAAAAGCATGAGGATAGTTCAATGAGGCTGGAAGGATATGAAAGTGACAAATCTTCATATTCTCATTTTTATTCTGAAAATATTCCTTCTCCAAGAAAATAATGTGTTTTCCAAGATAAATATTCACTATTCTGCTTCAGTGTACTGGTCATTGTAAAATCTCTGTAGGTTTCTGATTAATTGGGACCAAAGGCATCATTATCCTACAAATGTCTTTTTCAAAAGCTTTGTTCTTCCCTGAACCTTAGCATTCCACTGAGGTGTTATTGTTTCTCCAATAATGCCATTTGGGTTATGCTTATTTTGGCTCTCCTGACCTCAAAGTAATTGATGGGTGGCACAGGCCTTGAAGCCTGAGAGTCTCTAGGTTCTTTGATCTGCTGAAAAACTTCCCAGCTATTGATTGACTCAGGAACAGCCGTTGTAGTTTCTGTTTTGCCATTAACCTGGAGAGTAGGAAACTGGCACCTGTTTCCTGGCTTCTGGCATTGGAAACAGGATTCCTGATAGCCCTGACTTCACCTGTCACATCACATTAATAATGGAGGAATAATGGAGAAAGTAGGAAGACTGGACCCAGAGGAAGGTAGAATTCCTGCTACATTCATTCAAAATGAATGGAAGAGGGAATTAGGGGGAGCTGCAGTGACTTAGGCCAGGAATATCAAACTCACAGCGTCACTCACACCAGCATCACGTGATGTATCGTGACTTTTTTCCCCTTTGCTAAACTGGGCACGGCCAGCGCATGATGTATCCAGCCTGCGGGCTGCAAGTTTGACACCCCTGAGTTAGGCAGAAAGGAGGAAACTAGGCCGTTCATGCTTGCTTTAATAGAAGTGATGGAGGTTGCTCAGGGATAGGCTTCAAAAATTTTAGCAAATTTTGCCTGGTTGCTGGGTGGGTGTGGCCATGATGGGCGTGGCCTAGTCGGCCTCTTGCACTACAGTGGGGGGGGGGGTGTTTTTGCCCTACCTAGACTCCGGAGGCTTTCCTCGAGCCTCCAAGAGGGCGAAAACAGCCTCCCTGCACTCCGGAGGCTCACTGGAAACGGGCCCATTTCAGGCCCTTTTTTCGCCCTCCCCAAGCCTCCACGCACGCCCTACACTTATCTGCATCCAAAACAGGCCGCGTGGAGACTCCCAGGAGGGGAGGGGTGGGTGAAGCCAGCCAGGAGTGGGATTTGGGGGTTCTCTGAACTGCATAGAATCTAAAGCGCCTGTAGGCCAGACCAGGAGTAATGGATGGAAACTGAACAAGGAGAGATTTAACCTGGAAATAAGGAGAAACTTTCTGACCATGAGAACAATCAATGGAACAGCTTTCCTTCGGAAGTTGTGGGAGCGCCATCACTTGAGACTTTCCAGAAGAGATTGGACTGCCATTTGTCAGAAATGGTGTAGGGTCTCCCGCTTGGGCGGAGGGGGGGGGTTGGACTAGATGACCTACAAGGTCCCTTCCCACTCTGATTATCTGTTATCTGTTATCTTAGCTAGGGGCTCTCCCAAACCCTTGCGAACTCCCAGCAGCCCACCCCTGAGGTTGCTGAAGTCTCTGCATTCTTTTAAACAAACAGTCCATGATCGGAGGAGAAACTGTTGTCAAGAATGTCTCAGTGAATTGTTGATGGAATGCCATCGTGATACCCGTATAAAACAAGTTTCAAAACCCGTGGGACTTCACACGTTTTTAAGAAGAGGTTGGACAACCATTTGTCTGAAAAGGTATAGGGTTTTCTTGCTTGAGCAGCAGGTTGGACCAGACCTCCAGGGTCCCTTCCAACTCTGTTATTCGGAGAGGCACATTTCAGTAGCTTTCTAGTAAGCCTTGACACAGAAATCCTCCATTGCAATATAACCACCTAACTCAAAATTGTCTCCTTGGAGACCAGTTCTGTATGTATATAGCATGTGTATATGTGTGTTCTTTATGTGTTTGGGTAGATATAAACTTTCTCTTGAGAGCAGGCAAACAGAATTAAGGTGGGCCGGTGTGCTTGCATTAAAAAATGACAATACAGTTATTTTACCTTGCCTTGTCCAGGGATTTCGCCCTTTGCCCATTATCTGCTACTTTCTTCCAGAGAAGCCAGAGTGAAAGCCGAACCACAGACTTGTGCCTGGAAAGTAGAATCTCATTTCCTTTGACCATCTTTTTTTCCTTCAAACCTTCGGTGAAATCCATCATCATTTCTGACTCCGTCTTTTGCCCTGGTCTTTTGCCTGTTGGAAGTCCGGAACTCAGCATAGTAATTCAATTTCAATTGGGGAGCCGGAAACGTATTTCTTGAGGTCATCATAAGATGAATGCATTTTACTGACTGAAGGGAATACAGGTAGTCCTTATGACCAGAGTTGACCCCAAAATTTATGTTGCTAAGCAAGACTGTTGTTAAGTGAGTTTTGTCCCATTTTTACGACTTTTCTTGCCCACAGTTGGTAAGGAAATCACTGTTGTTGTTAAGTTACTGACATGGCTGTTAAGTGAATGTGGCTTCCCCATTGACTTTGCTTGTCAGAAAATCGTAAAAGATGATCATGTGATCCCGGGACACTGCAACCGTCATAAATACAAGTCACTTGCAAAGCATCTGAATTTTGATTCTGGGACCCTGGAAATGCTGCAACTGTTTTAAAATGGGAAAAATGATCCTAAGTTACTTTCTTTCAATACAGGACTACCTGTATTGAACCCTATTTTGGGGCAGGGTCCCTCCATCTAGAACAGGGGTGTCAAACTCAAGGCCCACAGGGTGCTTAGATCTGGCCCATGGGGCTGCCCTGGAAACAGTGAAGGACCGCTCCGCGGTTGCAGGAGGCCATCACAACCAAAAACAGAGCTCAGGAGCCTGTTTTCACTAGCATACCGCTTGGGCCACCACAGGCGCCCCCAACATGAGTGACGTTGAGCTGGCCACACCCACCCTGGCCACAGCCCCCATTCCCCCCCCCCCAAAAGGTCAAACACAACCGTGATGCAGCCCTCAGTGAAATCAAGTTTGACACCCCTGATCTAGAAGTACCAGGGCTGCTGCCTTTCAACAGATCTTACATGAAGGGAATCTTAGGGATGAACAGAAGACTTTGAACCTTTTGATTTTTCTATTTGAAAAGCTTAGGAATAAGCGGGCCAGCTGTAAAATGTTGTGAGGATTTTTTTTTCTCTCCTCTCAGCTGAAACCACAGATCAGCAGGTGTTAAAAACCTAGCTGGGTTGTTTTTTTTTTTCTATCTGTCCATCAGTTTCCCCCGCAAAAAAAATAAAAATAAAAAATTGCAGGCACTTGGACCTTTCAACTTGTTCTTCCCTGCCTGCGAGCACATTGCAAATAAATGACAAAGCAATCTGGGAGGGAAAATTCATTCAGACACCCCAAGCATGCCAGCGAGCCAGTTTATACTTGCTGCTGGAGCACAAGAAAGTTGAAGCTTCCGTGAATACACAATTGGCTGCCGGTGGACGAAGAGAGGCTGGCAAAAAGAAGGGGTTGCGAAGGGTCTCTAAAGCGTGAATTGCAAACCACCGAGAGAGAGGAAGAGGGAGAGAGCGAGAGCCCTGAAGGTTTCACTTGAAAGGCAAAGCGCCAGTAAGAAAGGACAACCAACCATGTGAGAGGCAAGACAAACTGTTACTGGCAAGGAAAGTTGTTGACGTGGTAAGCAAAAAACCCCTTTCCACAAGGGAGGGGTGGGCGGGAGAAAAGTGCACCTTCGGAAGACAATTAACTCCGCTCTGTAGGTCGCAGGGAAATTTTTAACTAGAACTGCTGCTTCTCCTACTTTGCCCCGTTTAGCAACGCACTTCATTCCACTTTGTTTACTATGAAATTAAATTCATCATCGGATTGCTCTGAAGAGAGGGGGAGGCGTGTTACACTTCTAGCTCCTGGTTACGCTTCTCTCTCTCCTCTGTTTCTTTTAACTTGATTCTGTTCCTCATCCTTTATGCCCTCTGAAACCATAGCATCTATTGTTGTTGTTGTTTTCCCTTATTGGGGATTGCAATTAAATAAAGAACCATTGGGAAAAGGTAGCATTCCCAATTTAACTTGCTTGGTGCATTTTAAAATAGTGAAATTAAAGATTGGAGTAGTCCAGTAACTTTTTATTGATAATGTTTACCTCAAGTGTAGTTGTAATGGCAGTGTCAATGTAGTAGTTGTTGTTTTCCCCCTCTTCTGTAAGAGTGGTTTCTCTCGCCAGTTAGCAAGGCACTTGAAAGAAAAAATTAGGCAATGAACATATGTATAGACTTATAGATGCAGAATGAGATTAAATTATTTACTCTTGTTAATGAATCGCTTTCATTTCACCACCTCGGATAGATCAACAGCTCCAAGGTGAAACGGTATTAAAGGCAATCACGTTATAAGCAATTTTCACATTTGCTTAGTGAATGTGAAACGAACTGCCAGTCTTATCGGATTTAACCTGTGTTCTGCCTGGATAAGCTGGCTGGAACTAGCCAACTGTTGAGATTATATCTGCAGATAATGATTGATTTATTGTTTTTAATGTTAGGAATTTATAACTTCTCACTGTAAGGAATTAAAGATATATATATTTTTTTGCCTTCTAATAGCCATGAGATGAGTAAAAATTCAGTAAATGATTTTTTTCTCTGTCTGAGAAATAGCTAGAAGGACATTGGCTTGGCCACAGGGAAGCAAGAAGCTGCATTATTCGGACAGCCTGGCTGACTTGAGGCAGAGGTTCTTAGTATAGTTTCTGAAAAGTAGTAATAAAAAAAGCTCACAAGAGCGTTAATATTTAATATTTGTAATTGGTTTGCTTGTCTCACACCAACTGAGGCCACCAGTATTTCCCACTATCTATCTGCAGAAAAGCCACAGGAGCAATAAGTTTAAATATTGAATCATTTTCTTGGCCTAAGATACCTCTCTGTTAAAGGGACCTAATCTATATCCCACTCACAAGGGATTGTATTAATATTAATTGCAAAACAAAAAAAAGCAAGGATTGTAAAAATGAGTCTAGAGAACAGGCCATGTTAGACAGTCAAACTGTCTTCTTGGGGTTGGCAGAAGTATATATTTTTAACTTCCCATTAAGCGGGGAGAGGCATGGTCTGTGTATAATTTCCTTTAAAGAAGTATATTGTAGGAATGCCAAACTTTCCACAAGGGCAAATAACTAATTATCAGGAGGGGAACTTCAGAAACAATGTGGAACTATTTGGGGGAATTGGACTTGCCAATTGCCTTATGGGAGTTAAAAAGGGATAAAACTTGAATAAAAGTTTGAAAACATAAGGAATGGCTGGAATCCTGCATATTCAAATTCCATTCTGCAAATGTGTTGTTTTAGCTCCCACTTAACTTTCATGTGCTTTGGATAAGCATGTCAGCTTTCATCTTTTTTTCTCTCTCAAAGTTTATTCTGCCAATCCTACATAAATCTATGTGGATATGTACCTGCATCAGTATGAGTTGTTTCTATAAAGAATTAGAATACCAGCTAGAAAATATAAAGACCAGGAAAATGTTTGCTGGGAATGCTTAATAAATAAATGGATCCAGAAACTGACTTCAAAATAATCATCATATGCTCCTTTTGAGCTGTGTATCATGACTTGCCAAACTTTTATCATTCCATTTCTATAGGATTAATTAAAACCTCAAAAAGCAGAAAATTGTTGATCTTTTAAAAAAAGCCAAAGAGGAATTGTAGTGAGGCAGTCCCACTCCAACCAAAGAAGCCTTGAAATTAATGAACCCAACTTTTTAAAAACAATATTGTTTTTAGGGCTTTCCATCTTGCATTATCTTGAACTGCTTGATAGTTTCCACTGCACAATATTTTTTGTATTGTTTAGAAAAGGATGCACATAATTTCCATTAGAAAAGAGGCACCTGATGTCTTTCCAGGTTCTTCTTAAATGATAACTTCCAGCAGACTTTGCTGTTGGCAAAATTTCTGGGAATTCTAGCACCCCGTTGAGTAAGGCATGAATATATTTGTGCTAAGTGTGGTTCAGGCCATCCATATTCCTGCCTTTTGGTTACCTGCCTGCTTTTAGCTATCCTGATGTTAGGGTAATTTGGATAAAAATTGTAATGAGGATGGGTTTCATAAGTGCTATAATGTGGATGTGTGAGCCCCAAACTTTGCTTTCTAAATCAAAGTTTTCGGAGAGAGTAGTATTTTAAATGCGATATTCTGTTTTAGGATTTGCTGTACAATTCTCATCTATTTCCTGTGTCCACATGGCAAGAGGCTGCTTTCATTTTCAGCTCTCTGGGTCAGGAAGAATTTCTGAGGGCCACAAAAGAGGGACCGAGGGATGTATGCAAAATGCTTTGGATTTTTTCTTGAGCATGAAATGTTCTGGTTCAACATCACAATTGTTGCAGGTTCAGGATAGGTTATCTATGACTGGTAATGTTCCATTCATTCCAGAAATACTTTTAGTTTGAAGCACCTGTTTTCTATTTGAAACAGGTGTTTCCAGCTTGAATTATTGCTATTTGGAGCTTGAAACTTTTCCAGAGTGGTCAGAATAACACCACAAAATGTTTCAAACATGGAGCAAGGTGTTTTCTGCAAGGAGCACAGTACTGTACATTTGAAATGTTTGAATTTGAAGGGATTTTGTGCTTCATCCAAGGGCTGCTGTTCACCTATCCCTAGACTGTAATATTTCTATACACAGATGGAATAATGATTCTTTGTTAAGAATAATTATCCATCATAACTATGGTAAAATCTATGTTAACCTTGTTACCACAGACTTTTGGATAGACAAGAGTTTCAACTGAGATGTATTATTAATCAATTACAAAGATGTGATCACCATTCAGAATGCCTTCTGTTAGATTAGAGAATCTAAAGTAAGCATCTCTATAATTCTATATGAAAAATCGATATTCTTCAAAAGTTTAGATTAAGGTTATACAAGGATTATTCTAGTCCAGATTGTAGCAATAATTAATTTTATTCCAAATCATAAATGCATTATAGTTTGCTTTTTAACATGTTTTAAAAACTGCTGCAGCATCACCCGCTATGCTAACCTGTTCCATTTTAGAGTAAAAACATAAGAGAATATTAATTCATAATATAATATGAATTATTATAATACTATAATAACATGCTATAATGCTATAACATAATAGTGTTATTGGGATTTTTGTAAATTGGCATTAGCAAATATCCTGAAATTCCCCTGGTTTAGGAAATGTCAGAACCATTAAACAGATGAAATAATACTGTAATTTATGCAAATACTGATATCCATGGCAGGAAACTTGACATCCCTACAGTGATAGCCAAGATGTATAGACTGCAGTGCTAAACAAAATCAAATTGTATTACGGCTTACATACATGAATTAAGCTAATAGCATTCAATTAACAAAGCATTGCTATTTAACAAATCATAATTATGTTTTCTATGAATCCAGTAAGGAAAATAAAAATAAAACTCTCAAATTTATGTGAAATTCAATTTTGTGAATGCCTGTTTTAATATTTTGCTTGTGTTATAGAGCTTACCCCCAAAAAGATACACTGAGGATTGCAATGGAATATTGCTTTATCAGGGTGGTTTAATGTGAAGTTTCTTGATATTCAGGCAATGTAGATAGTTTTCAATTCTGATTCTGATTGCAATGACTTGATACATGCAGTGAAAAATTAACACTTCAAATTCTTCTTTTCAGACATGACCATATGACTTCCGGTGCCCACACATCTTTCAAAGCAGAAGAAATGGCAACGGTCGGTCATTTAACTGTTTTATGATCCAAGTGCTAGAAGCAATATTATTCATCTAATATTTGCCTCCTTGTTTTGCAGAATCTTAGTGATGATCCAAGACATGATACTTACAATACTGCACATTTAATACAGTACATTGGGAAGCATTGCCAATGTGACCCTAACCTATTGAAACGTCTTTAAGGGATAAGAAAGAGACCAAGTTAGCAGGAAGGAGTCCTTGTATTGACTCGTTCTACCAGGTCACATAGAGCGGGCATACTCCAGATCCTTTTCCTCAATTGGTGGGATCTACCTATCTATCTCTACCTATCTTCTACTTCAGACTATAACCTTATTTATTGTATCTTTACAATTTATATTGTTTTATTTAGTTTCATAGTATGATTTGATTACTTATTTAGTATCTTATTACTATCACTAAGTGTTGTATCTTTTGATTCGTGATGAAAGTATTTTTATGTACACTGAGAGCTTATGCACCAAAGGCAAATTCCTTGTGTGTCCAATCACACTTGGCCAATAAAGAATTCTATTCTATTCTATTCTATTCTATTCTATTCTATTCTATTCTATTCTATTCTATTCTATTCTATTCTATTCTATTCTATTTTATTCTATTCTATTCTATTCTATTCTATTCTACTTCGGCTGCACACCTTCTTCATGGCCATCTAATCTTTTAAACAGATCCCATTTGAGATTCAGCTCCCCATACCCCTTATGCTGTTAGTTTTCCAGAAGGCCATGAAGATCTGGTTCCTCTCAAGCATTGAGCTAGGATGAAGTTAAGTTGGGCAGCAACAATATGGGTGGTTCTGGTGCCTGGTAGGAAGGGTATGAGCCATATTATGGTTCTTATTAGTTTCTGAAGGTACAGAGTGTAGACTTATTACATTTGTATCTTCTGTGTGAGATAAGGGTGGAATAAATCTGGTCCCCCTCATCCTTATCCTTTTTCATGTGGTAAGTTAGATGAAAACTTAAATATTTTCAGTGGGTTTGGATTTTTCTGCTCAGTTTCATGGCTGCATGAAGATCAGAATTCTTTATCCTGTCTAATCAATCACTACACCAGAACTGCTCTCAATAGATTGCCTTAGTAAGACCACACCTAGAGTACTGCATCCAGTTTTGGTCACCACATTATAAAAAAGATGTTGAGACTCTAGAAAAAGTACAGAGAAGAGCAACCAGAATGATTAGGGGACTGGAGACTAAAACATACGAAGAATGGTTACAGGAACTGGGCTTGGCTAGTCTAGTAAAGAGAAGGACCAGGCGTGATAGCAGTCTTCCAATATTTGAGGGGCTGCCACAGAGGAGGGGGTCAAGCTATTTTCTAAAGCACCTGTAGGCCAGACAAGGAATAATGACTGGAAACTGAACACAGAGAGATTTAACCTGGAAATAAGGAGAAACTTTTGACAGAACAATCAACCAGTGGAACAGAAGTTGCCTTTGGAAGTTGTGGGAGAGCCATCACTTGAGACTTTCAAGAAGAGATTGGACTCCCATCTGTCAGAAATGGTGTAGGGTCTCCCGCTTGGGCGGGGGGTTGGAGTAGATGACCTATAAGGTCCCTTCCAACTCTGGTTATCTATTATCTGTTTAAAAGATGCAGTTAAAACATTGATTGTACAGTGCCTGCTTCTGTAAGAAACCCAGCTGAGGAATGAAGTTACAGATATTCCTCGACTTACCACCATTCATTTAGTGACCATTTGAAGTTACAACAGCACGGGAAAAAAAAGCGATTGACATGACCATTACAGCATTCCCACAATCATGTGATCAAAATCCAGGTGTTTGACAAGTGGCATGTATTTGTAACGGTTGCAGCTCCCTGGGGTCATGTGATCCCCAGCTGTAACCTTCCCAGATGGCTTCCAACAAGCAAAGCCAATGGGGGAACAGGATTTGTTTAATGAGTGTGAGATTCACTTAGCAATTGCTGTGATTTGCTTAACCAAGGCAAAAAAAAAGGGGGTCATAAAATTGGGTATGATTCATTTAATCACCACCTTGTTTACAATGGAAATTCTGGTCCCAGTTCTGGTTCTAAGTCAAGGACTACCTGTAGTAATGGCACTCTCATCGATGCCATTTAAAGAAAATTGACAGGAAATAAAATACGGGTTCTGTGTCCAATTTCCCAGTCCCTTTCTAATACAGGTTGAAAGTTTAGAACTGACAAACTGTGGTGAATGTGAGTTAGCTCATGCATGAACTTAAGATTTTGTTCAGACTCTATTTGAAAAGTTTTGATGTCAGCAGAAAAAGGAGGCATAAGAAGGTTCTTCTCGCTTGTATTTGTGATACAATGATTACATTTTTTAAAAATACTCCAGCCTTCTTATTTTTTAAAAAAGCTTACTGTTTTATTAATTAATTATAATCATTACTTTGTTCTGATTTCATCTTTGGTTTCTTCTTATCTTCCATCCTCCAATTGTTCTTTTATTTGTGTTATGGATTTCATTATTTTATTTTATTTTTATGAATTGCCTGTGAACCTTTTGAGGATGAATGGGAAACAAGATAAAAACTGATAAAGTTTTAAAAATGGCTTAAGCATCCTTTTGCTATTTAGCTTCTTTGTTCTCTGTTCCACTCATGAGATTTCACTAGTAGGAATAGAGAAACAAACATTGTTTTGACATTAAGAAAATGATCCCAGGGGTTGAAAAAGATGTTCTTCAGGAGTTTTCTTCTGCATGTAGCTCTGAATTTGTTTTGCAGTTATGACATACATGCAAATACACCCACTCTGCCACTGTCATAATTATTCTAGACTCTCTTGGTGACTACATATGTCACAACTGGAGGATCTCTATAAGCCTTGAATGATGAGAACAATTATTTCAAGCTAGGGCTTTAGGGACCTAGAGAGACATTACTCTACCCACCTGTCATGTTCTTCTTCATTTTAAAAGAACTGCTGGGATTGTCTTTGGAAATCATCAACGCAGTTGGTTCAGTTTTTCTGACCTTAATCTGATACAGTGATGCCCTCATTTGTGGGCCAAAGACTAAAGTCTGCCTTTAAAAAAAATTAAGATTACCTTTTGCAAACACCTGTCACATTGGCTCTTTCCCCCAAATATTGTCATCTCATGGGAACCAGGAAGTATGCCTTTTCTGGGGCAGCCTCTGCCCTATGGAATATCTTGCTCCCTGAAGTTCCTCTCCACCCTTTTAGCTTCTTGTAAGGCTTTAAAGACCTAATTTTTCCTTCCAAGTATTGGAAGAAGATTACACAATGGCACATTAGCATGGATTGGCCCCAGGTGTTTGTTACTTTAAATGCTCTATGTTTTAATTGGTTGGGTTTTATAGTTTTTCAAGTGGTTTTACATGTCTTTTAATCTTCAATTGGGAGCCGCTCAGAGTTGCCTGAAATATGGGTGGCTGTATTAGTGTTTGAAATGAATAAATAAAATATTGTATTTGTTGGAACGAGAGGATGTCTTTCCAGTGTGATTGCCAACTTACCTTGCTGTGCCTGCTAAAGTCTTCTGTCAGGAGCAGGTACTGGAGAATTCCTGAACATTGCCATGTCCCCAAAGGGCAGTCTGATTCCTAAACTCTGCTAACAGTAGATGGGAAAGCAGGGCAAATTTAATTACTTAAGCAGCCTGAATGGCAAGGAACTAGACATTGCTTTGAGAGCAGATGAAGATGTTGCTTGCATATTGCGTATGTACAGGTGAAACTCAAAAAATTAGAATATCGTGCAAAAGTTCTTTTATTTCAGTAATGCAACTTAAAAGGTGAACCTAATATATTAGATAGACTCATTACATGCAAAGCAAGATAGTTCAAGCTGTGATTTGCCATAATTGTGATGATTATGGATTACAGCTCATGAAAACCCCAAATCCACAATCTCAGAAAATTAGAATATTGTGAAAAGATTCGATATTCTAGGCTCAAAGTGTCCCACTCTAATCAGCTAATTAAGCCATAACACCTGCAAAGGGTTCCTGAGCCTTTAAATGGTCTCTCAGTCTGGTTCAGTAGGAATCACAATCATGGGAAAGACCTCTGACCTGACAGTTGTGCAGAAAACCATCATTGACACTCTCCATAACGAGGGAAAGCCTCAAAAGGTAATTGCAAATGAAGTTGGATGTTCCCAAAGTGCTGTTATCAAAGCAGATTAATAGAAAGTTATGTGGAAGGGAAAAGTGTGGAAGAAAAAGGTGCACAAGCAGCAGGGATGACCGCAGCCTGGAGAGGATTGTCAGGAAAAGGCCATTCAAAAGTGTTGGGGACTTTCACAAAGAGTGGACTGAGGCTGGAGTCAGTGTATCAAGAGCCACCACACACAGAGGATCCTGGACATGGGCTTCAAATGTCGTATTCCTCTTGTCAAGCCACTCCTGAACAACGGCAGAAGCATCTTACCTGGGCTAAAGAAAAACAGAACTGGTCTGTTGCTCAAAGTCCTCTTTTCTGATGAGAGCAAATTTTGCATCTCATTTGGAAACCAAGGACCCAGGGTCTGGAGGAAGAAGGGAGAGGCACACACTGCAAGATGCTTGAAGTCCAGTGTGAAGTTTCCACAGTCTGTGTTGATTTGGGGAGCCATGTCATCTGCTGGTGTCGGTCCACTGTGCTTCATTAAGTCCAGGGTCAATGCAGCCGTCTACCAGGAGATTTTGGAGCAATTCATGCTTCCTTCCACAGACGAGCTTTATGGGGATGCTGACTTCATTTTCTAGCAGGATTTGGCACCTGCCCACACTGCCAAAAGCACCAACACCTGGTTCAATGACCGTGGGATTACTGTGCTTGATTGGCCAGCAAACTCTCCTGACCTGAACCCCATAGAAAATCTATGGGGCATTGCCAAGAGAAAGATGAGAGACATGAGCCCGAACAATGCAGAAGAGCTGAAGGCCGCTATTGAAGCATCCTGGTCTTCCATAACACCTCAGCAGTGCCACAGGCTGATAGCTTCCATGCCACGCCGCATTGAGGCAGTAATTGCTGCAAAAGGAGCCTAAACCAAGTACTGAGTACATATGCATGCTTATACTTTTCAGAGGTCCAATATTGTTCTATGTACAATCCTTGTTTTATTGATAGCATGTAATATTCTGAGATTGTGGATTTGGGGTTTTCATGAGCTGTAAGCCATAATCATCACAATTATGACAAATCACGGCTTGAACTATCTTGCTTTGCATGTAATGAGTCTATCTCATATATTAGGTTCACCTTTTAAGTTGCATTATTGAAATAAATGAACTTTTGCACGATATTCTAATTTTTTGAGTTTCACCTGTATATAACCAGGATGTGTATTCCCAGCTTTCTCCTGCTTTCTCACCTGGTGCTTTAACACAAGACCAAAGTTCTTCATGCAAGATTCCATGAAGAGGTTTGATTATAATCAGTTAACTAATATTTAACCAAAACAGTTAACCAAACTATGGTTGGTTCTTGGACCCAGTGTTACAATATACCTCTATTCACATTTTTCTTTCAATTATGTGCTAGAAATAAGGGAATAATTTATTTAAGAAACATTGATATTTGTATATTTTAATTTAATTTTAATAATTGTGATCATTCCAAAAAGATTTTTTCCCATTCAAGAAGAGCATGGCTATTCGTTCAGAAAATTGCTTTTCAGCTGTAATGTTCAGAAACTATAATTATGAATTTCTACCCCATATTTGTTGCAGATGTGGCCAATATTTGCCTAATTTACCTTAATTGTTGAAGAGTTTAGAACTAAATTAAGGCCTGCTAAAGCAGTTTATCCGCAAGAGAGAAAAAATGTGCAAATGTTGAAATAAGGCCACCTCTGTAGCCAAGATACTATTAATATCACCATAGAAGAGAATTGTGATAAGTGATAGGTATTCAAGGCTTTGTTTGGTTGAAAAAAGTATCTGTTTTCTTCATTTGTTCTCTTCGTAAACCCAGACATGCAAGCCCTCTGAACCTACGACTGAATGCCTTGATGCAAACATTGCTGATGTGATGGACAACTCATCAACGTGGAATGAGGAGCTGGAAAATGAGCTTTTAAAAGGTAAATTCATATCTCTGCTCCGCATTGTACATGATCTGCGAACTCTGGGTATGAAAGTGATACAACTGTATAAAACATTCTTATATACAGCTATTCCTCACTTAATGACAGTAATTGGGACCGGAATGTCTCCTACTAAGTAACTTGGTCAGAAAATGCAATGTCACATGAATTTTAGCACTTAGCAACAGAAATTCGGCACTTCTAGGCAAAAATAACCAATGCACAGGTACGGTATAGGTGGTACCTCGTTCAATAGTAGTAATTGTGAGAAGGATCTTGGAGCCCTAGTGGACAAATATGAGTTATCAACATGCTGCAGCTTCCAAAAAAAGCCAACACAGTTCTAGGCTGCATTAACAGAGAGATAGAATCAAGGTCACATGAAGTGTTAATACCATTTTATAATGCCTTGGTAAGACTACAATTGGAATACCACATCCAGCTTTGGTTGCCGCAATGTAAAAAAGATGTTGAGACTCTAGAAAGAGTGCAGAGAAGAGCAACAAAGATGATTAGGGGACTGGAGGCTAAAACATACAAAGAATGGTTGCTGGAATTGGGTATGTCTAGTTTGATGAAAAGAAGGACTAGGGGTGACATGATAAGCAATGTTTCAATATCTCAGGGGCTGCCACAAAGAAGAGGGAGTCAAGCTCCAAAGCAGCTGAGGGCAGAACAAGAAGCAATGGATAGAAACTGATCAAGGAGAGAAGCAACTTAGAACTAAGAAGAAATTTCCTGACAATTGGAACAATTAATCAGTGGAACAACTTGCCTCCAGAAGTTGTGAATGCTCCAACACTGGAAGTTTTTAAGAAGAGATTGGACAACCATTTGTGTGAAATGGTATAGGGTTTCCTGCCTGAGCAGAGAGTTGGACTAGAAGACCTTCAAGGTTCCTTTCCAACTCTGTTATTTTATTCTATTCTATTCGCCATTGTTAAGTGTGGGCCATTAAACAAGGGCGTCACACGATAGTTTTAATACTTATAATGCAATTGTGATGTCCTGCTGGCTTCCCATTCATTTTAGGAAGTTTGCAAAGGAGGTTGCAAATGGTGACATGTGGCTGCAGGATACCATGACATAATTGTGTGCCAATGTTGAGTGCCTGATTTGTGATCATGTGATTGCAGGGATACTATGACACTGAAGTGTGAGGACTAGTCATAATTTCCCTTTGTTCAGCATCATTATAAGTTTGAACAATTGCTGAATAAGCAGTTGTTAAACAAGGACCACCTGTAATGCCACTGTGGCCTAAGCTGGTGCTAAATGTCAGTTCCCAGTCAGTCTACTGGTAATGCTTTCCAAGAATTCTGGGAGTTGAAGTAAATGTGTGTATAAGACAATAGCCTGGGGCAGACTGCCCTGTAGTTTCACCAAGATCCTAGGACTGGAGTGGAGTAATAAATGAATTAGATAATCACATAAGGGTTTATTACCTTCCAATTTATCCATAGCCGTCCTGTTTACCTTCAGGCATTAACGCAACCTCCCCAGACAAGAACTGACACACATCAAAAATTTTGAGTATTTCCTTTGGTTAGCTACAGTGGCACTACTGTCGCTGCCTGGGGGACATTAATTGGGTCTCGTTGTCCAGGAAGACTACCAAGCAACCCACCACCAAGCAACATACAGTTAATTATATTAGTGTTGTTTGAAAAGACTGTATTGAATTATAAGGCTGAAACCAGTAGAGAATGAAAGATGGTCCTTGAGACATAGTTCATCTTCTTTCTTGCCATCCCAGTGGGATAACTGGCTCTCCTTCCTCAAAGCTTCATCTACCTGCTATTTAACGTTACATAGTACATTCTGTGCAGCAGAATATAATACTCATTACCCATCAAGGTAAAGACAGGAAAAGCACTCCCTAAAAGCAAATGGAGAAGATCAGAAACTCCAGGACTCTCTTAAACTTTCTGATGTTTCTCCTTAATCTTTTTCTCCAATATTCAAGCATTCCTATTTTTCCTCACAGAGCAGAGACAACAAAATTACTCACCCCTTGGCTGGTCATGTTTCCAGATCTTGAGCCCACACAGCAATGTTTCTCAACCTTAACAACTTTAAGATACGTGGATTTCAACACCTTCAAAGCTAGCTGGGGAATTCAAGGCTAGATAGTGAATTCTGGAGGTTGAAACCCACACACCTTAAGGTTGCCTAAGTGGAGAAACACTGCCATAGAGAGTATGGCAGAGGATAAGGTGATGTCACCAGAGTATGCATTTCTTTTGGGGCTTGAAGATAAGGGGTAAAATAAATGTTTTAAATCCAATTAATGGAGAAACCATGCCCAGTTTGTTCTTTAATTTGCACCGAAAAGCACATAAAATTTCACTGACAGTATTGTCAGGTTGTTGCTGAATTTCAGCGGTGTGATTAGATGGTGCTTCAGAGGTCACAGTAAGTCGTTGTAGGAAAGTTAAAACTTTGCTCCTTTAAAGTGTTTATTTTTTATCTTGGTTAAATAATTGATATGAAAAAGATTATTTTTCCCTTAAGGGAACTAAGGAATGGTAGATGCAGGCTAACACACGCAGCACAAAAAATAATGATTACACCTTGTATCCCCAAGGTGAAAATACTTTGCAAATTAATCTCCCCACATTCTTGGCAGTTAGAAAATGTTCTTGAAATGAAGTTAGATTTAATATTTCACCCAAAGGAACAGCCAGCAAGCAAGTAAATATACATCAGGATGCCAATGAATTCAGTTATGAATTCTGCTATCTGCTTTCAATGTGCCACAGCAAGAACATTAGCTGTAAATTCAGATTAGAGAAAAATCAGTAACACATGGGACAACATCCACGCAATCTAATGTACTAATTTTGTAATATTTTCTATGATTTTAACCTGTTTTAACTTGTAAGAAAATTGCATTTCAATAAAAACAACAAAAGCCTCATAGAATGAGAGAAAAAATATTGTGTGTTTAAGAAATACCTCTGATAGTGTGTATCAAAAACGTTGAAGTACATCTGTTGTTATGTGTCTTGATTAAAATAGAGATATATAGGGGATTTTATTTTATGTAGAACAATAACTCATAGCAGGCTGATTTACCTATGTCAATGTTGAAAAATAAAATTAATTCATTCCTTCTTCTCTGTTCACTAGTTTTGGACAGTCTGGATAACCAGCTGGCAAAAGAACAATCTCAAGATACTATGAATACAACAACTCCTACTAACTATGGCTCTACAGCACCAGAAATCCATCATCATTCCGCTGTTGTACAACCAAATTTCCTTGGAGAAGTACAGAGAAATGACCAGAACTTGTTTTTCTCAGACAGAACAAGGATACTAAGAGCCAGAGATAAATACAAAACTCTCTTCATACCAAGGAGGCTTTATGATAATTATACAATGCAGCATCACCCAGAAAAATACACATATGGGGATTTGTATGATGAAAGATCTTCTGTTTTGAAGAGAGGATATTCTACTTGTTCTCTTGGACATTCTTCAGAAGATAGGTTGGCATTTCCATCAGGATCTTACAGCAATGGATTTGGTCCTAAGAACTTCATGTCCAAGAATAAAATGGGCAGAAGTTACTCTTTGTCTTGCCTTACAAGGCGTTCATCTTTGACGTCTGCTGACGGGTTTTCCACTGGTACCTTACAGCATGATTTTGAAAACAATATGGACTTCACAAAAGTCAACTTTCACCATCATTCCAGGCGGACTCCTCTTTCATCCATTGTATGGAATATGCCACAGTCTTCTAGACATTCAGTACATCCAAACAGACTTCGTAGAACACAGTCATTAATAGAATTTAACTCAGTGTTTGAGGACAGACATCCTTGTTCTCCAGAGGAAAATTCAAGTTATAAATTTTATAGATCAAAAATGAATTACAGGCAAGTAGTACCAAACAAGACCCATCCTTTATTCACTGAGAGACGGATAGACCCTCTGTGTTTCAACAGTGGGGAGAATTATGTGTTACATCCATTGAAAAATGTTTCCAAACCATGCTACAGATACCCATCATTTCGTGGTAAAATGAATCTGCCCCCAAACAATCTTCCTTTTGGAAGAACGGAGGAGTACCTTTTTAGACGTAATAATCATCAGTATTTCAGTGATGCTAACCATGTCCCTGATATAAACTTCGAACAGCTGATTGACCGGCGAAATGACTATGGGGGAAAAAAAGATGTATGGCAAAGTGAACATATGCGAGACTGTGCCTCAGAATACACAAAGAGTAAGGACCATCCAGGAAGAGGAACTCACAGATTGTTTGCAAAGTGTTCAAAAGGCATGCAGAAAGGTCCAACTTACGTCTCAGCTGCTTCGGAGAACCAAACTGAATATGCAGTGCCAAGTCAAAGTCATGTTAGTGGAGACAGACAAACTCCTTCAAAGACATTTGTTAAACCCTTTCAAATGAAGAAAAACTCTAAAATGCGTGGCACGGAAGAGATGAATGGTGCTGATCAGTCAGACAAAGTGGATAGCATGGACATAAAAAAGACATCATTAATTCAAGCGTTTGGACAAATAAAAACAAATAATCCAACAGAATGTCATATGTCTCCTTCTACAGTCTCTTCTCAAGCTACCCCTCCTATGAGTGTATCCCTCCACCCACCTTTTATATTAAATTCAAAAAGGCAAGGCAAGGCAAATTCCTTAAGACACATTGAAAACGTTTGTTTATCAAATATTCACACTAATAATGGCCAAAGAAATGAAGACAACAGCACTGAAAGCAACAGTGTAAAGCAACTGTGTCCCCCACACCTGATTGCTAATCCTTCAAAGCTGTCAATTCTTCAAAGTAACCCTCAAGAGGAACACCAATTGGAAACTTGGAAAACCTTTAACCCTGATAAGATGTTAAACCCTGTTTTTATTGAAGACCCCAAAGTACTTCCAAACAATGATTTCCCACTTTCTTATGCTGAAACACTCCATAAACCAAATAGATTTGTTAGATATTCGGCTAGTAATAGCATTTGTGGCTCACCCAGCAGCAGCCCTCTGAAATCTCCTAAAACGCCTAAGACGTTATATAAAAAATCAATTAGTATTGATGGCAGTGATCTCTCTAAAACACTCATTTCTCCCCCTACAAGGAAAATTCCTTTCAGAACTAAGAGGATGGGGGAGGATAGCTTAGAAGGTCATGCATCAAACAGACTTGGGAATATTTATTCAAATAAGGGAGATAAGAGGTCTTTGTTCAGCTCATCCTGCTCATCCTTAAACATATCGTCCAAAGAAATGGCTGAAGAAAAAAACAAACAAATTAAAAAGTACCACGTGCATTTAATTCAAGCTCCTAACTGCCCTTCAGGGAGTACTAATGTAATTGGCAGCAAGCGGAAAAAAAGAGCTGAGATGCTTGGTCCAGAGAAAGCGATTTGTCTTTCTCCTGAAAAGGAGGAAGCAGAAAATCCTTTAAAGCAATATAAAACTACCAGCACACTGACAGTAAGCATAGATGAAGATAATGTAAAATACCATGAACTGATTTCAGTTTATTATACTTTACCACAGAAACATTCAAAAACTTTGTGCGATGTCTTCCTGGGAGATACCAAAAAGGCAGATTCATCCTCGTCCCCAGAAAAACCCGAGACCCCTCAAAAGCAGTATGAAGTTCGTGTCGGTATGACAACTGTAGCTTTTCCATCCAGCTTAGAAAAAGGAGAGAAACTGATTTCCCCTAACAAAACACCTGCTCCTGATATACAACAGGATTCAAAAAATACAGGCAATCCTGTTAAAGTTCTCCAAGTTTCAAATCCCACTGTGGGAACAGCAGATATTTCTCAAGCACATGGTTCAATGAATAATAAAAAATTAGTTGTCTCTGGAACTGAAGAGCTGGGACTTGCAATTTCCAACAGGCCTCCTGTGGATGGCCCCAAACCCAGCAGAAAAGAGGTTGAAACAGTTAACCCCAATATTTTGTCCAGCCTGCGTGTTGACAGGCACTCTTCTCCATGGACAGAGACACCAAAACTTAATAAAAGCTTACATCTTAACTCATTGAATTCCAAAAGTATCTCTCTGGGGAATATTTCTGCAGTTTCTTCTGCAATAAATGGCCAAAAAGGGAATCCTGGTTGTAGTCAGCCATCTGTTGAAGCATCAGCAAACATTCCTCCTTCCAATTTAATTGATGTTATCCAGAATGGAAAGCCCGCTGCGTATCCAGAAGTCGGCACCCGAGTAAATGTCACTAAAGAAAAAATGAGAAATGCTGCAGAGATCAAAGAAAGGGCTCGTTATATATGCCGCATTATTTCTGAAAGGGGACATCGGTTTCCATTGAGAAATGAAGGTGTCCAAAATGAAACGTCAATTTCAACAACCAAGAGGCATTCAGAGTCTCAGAATTTAACTGCGCCAGGGGATGCTGCTCTTTCAGCTAATGCAGTTCATCTAAAATGGAATGCGGTAGAATGTTCAAAGCCCCAACTGCAAGAGGTGCCCCAAAATCCTGCACTCCACAAAGTTGGCACAAATTTACAGAGGTCTGAAAGAGTCTGTGCGGACAATGGGAACCTTAGCTCTAAAGATCAGATGCATTCTGGTCCTACCCAGGACTTGCCTGAGCATTTACTACCTGAAAGTAAGCTTGCGCTGGATGACCTTAAAAATAAAGTTAATGACTTAGAAAAAAGGAAAAATAGGTCTTCAGTTAAAAACAAACTGGCAGCCATGTGCAGATCAAGTCGAAAGTTTTCTAATAAGAAAAGCTCATGTCCCAAACCACATGTAAGTTGCATATTTTCACAAAATGATGTACTTCCATTAGAGAAGAGTAGCCACCATCCAATGTTGATTTTGCCCGATGATTCCCAGCAAACAGGGAATGAGAATCAGAATCAGGTTTCTCTACCTGGTGAATTTGATATTCCAAAGCTGAGTAAAGTGGAAACTAAGAAATTGCAAGCTAATGAAGATAGGAGGCCTTTGACAAACTTGTGCAACCAGAAAAGAGAACATTCAGGGCAAAGTGATGAAAATATAAAGGCCATCCAAAATTCTAGCATCCTATTTTCAAAATCAATTATGCCTGTGCTAAACAACAATTTACAGACAGGTAGCAAAGTTGTAGAAAATAACAACCATCCCATTTTCTCCAAATGCGCAGGAATGGATGCTTACCCCTCAAAAAGAGGTCACTGTAAAATTGGTGAGCTTTCATCTTTTCCACTTCTATCTGATAAACATGCATACATTAAAAATAAGTCAAAGGCAAATATCTGTCCACTGCAAAAATTGACTTCTCAAGTAGAACGTGATGATTATCAAGATAATGAGCAGTCAAACATCTTTAAAAATATAAACCAATCCTGTGCCAAGCCAGTTCTAAACCTCAGCAAACGACATTTTTCTGAAAGTTCCTGCACACAAAAACTCCACGATTCTTTGCCCCCCAAAAACAACCTGACACAGCCCGGATACAATCGGAAGTTTAACTCCTATTCTGAACTGTTGACCTGTGATGAAAATGAGAACTGGGACACATACAACGAGAATAATAGGAACTTCGGCTCACGACGTATCATGTACCCCTCAATTGAATTTGGTATTTTTGGGAAAGAACAGCAGCAGACTTTCTTGGATAACATAAAGAGGTCACTCACGGAAGGACGGTTGTGGAATCCGTGTCTTTTAAAGAACTCCAGGTCTATTAAAAGGGAAGATGGGTACTCCTTACGTGGGTTGGAGCTCTTGAAATCAAATGCTACAGAAGAACAGTTCCCAAATGAACCTTTTGATTTCGACGAAGAAGCCTCTGCATATTCTTCAGATTCAGATTCAGATTCTGACTCTGACACCACCACAGATGATGAATATTATCTGCATGAGTATGAGAAAGAATCAGAACTATGAGGAGTTCAACAAACGTAGAAAGCAACTACCTACTAGCTGACTTGTGGGTTGATAGCTTATAAAAGAATAGGGACTGGAAACCTGACTAGCTTTTTATAAATGCACTAATTTGAATTCAGGTACTAAATGGACATATTGTACTGATCTAGTCTTCCACAATTCTGGCTTTTCTTAAATATGTGGGCTCCTGGAATTCTAAGAAATTCTTGGAATTAAGGTCCACATATCTGGGTAATGCTCAGGTTATAGAAACTCTGTGGAGATGTAATATATTTGGTTTTCGGGTACGGTGCTGTATGAACTCAGTCACTGTGGTTTATAAACTCAGGTGTGCTTTTTGTATGTTGCTTAAATTCAACCAATTATGGTTTATTCAATAAACCATGGTGAAGCAAACCGTAACTTAAGAGTTATGTGAACTTAGCCATTATAGTGGTCAGCTCAAAAATCATAAATTTTTAAAATGGTAAAATCACCCTACATTTGAATCTCTAATGGCACTGGAAAGAATAAAGGCATTGTCCTATTGGTTCTCAAATGGGTGTGCCTGCTTTTTCAGAGCAGGGTCTCTTGTACCAATCAACTTTGATACATAATCATAACACGGCTGCTTTCATCAGCAATTGAATGTTTGCATTCAATACATTCGTGGCCTTTGTGTGTTTCAACAAATCTAAAACTTCTGAATTTTAGGGGGGAAAGGGAAGATTCAAAATATGTGTATATTTAATAGCCTGAAGGAAAATATATTTATTTAATTGGAAAAATGTGTGTTCTATTAAAAACCTCATTAAAATGAAAGCAGCTACTTCGACGAGATAGCTATCCTTAAGCTTCAAAGCATACTGCAGCTATTGCAAGAGACTCTCATTCAAAGCAATGAAATGTTCACTGATTTCCACTTTGGTTTTTAAAATCAGTCTATTAACAGGATGTACAAAATTGGTTATTCTGAAATGCTTAATACTTCGTTAAAGAAGTATGTATGAACTGAATGTGCAGTAGACTTTTAAATATTTGTTTAGTATGGCAGTTACACTTGAAAGTACTTCTAAAGTATATATTTTAGTTCATGTAAATGAAACCATTCTAGTAAGATTCCAATTAATATTTTCAGGTGAAAATATGTTCTTTAAATGTGAATTATTTTGAAAAAAAATCCGTGCATTAATTGTGCATAAGGCCCAATTAAGTTGTACAGCTTCTTGTATTGGAAAAAGATTTTTGAACTTGTAAAGTTTATGGAAGCTTTTTTTTTTTTAAACTGAAAATGCTTCTATGTGACAAGCCTGGAAGACAGTCAAAAAGTCATGCATGTGTATATGTTTACACGCATACAAAACTGTTCTTTAGTATTTTCTTTCTGTGCTTTGCCTTTATGCCTTTTGTTCTCTTGTACACTGTAAATATGTTGTTTGTTTTGAGATCAATTTTCAGGCCATATTTTCTTCTGATGAGTTTCTGTTCTGTGTATCCAGGCGTTTTTACAGTACGCTACTCTACTGTACAAACAAAACTGTAATTTCACTGAAGAGCAAAAATCCTTCAATGCAACCTGCTCTCATTAATGCAAACAACTGTTTGGTATTTGCTCGCATGGGCAGGTACAACCTCCGTAAAAGAGTAAGTCAAGTTCAGACGGGGAAGGTCAATCTATGGCAACTGAACCACCCATTCCAAAGTCCAACTAGAACAACATTACAGGGTTGAAACTGAGGAGCAGATGGGATCAAAAACATGTTAACTCCAGGGCTGGTGTATTTTCTCCCTTGTTTGGAGAATAGGAATCCAGATAATTCCAAACCTCCTGATTTGGCTTCAAAAATATGTGAATTTCATGGGGGTTTTCAAACAATTTTGGACTCTAAGACTGATTTGGTTGGTGGCATTTTCCAAACCATTTCTCCATTGTTTACCAGAAAGTCTATTTCAGAGGCAATGGCAGTAGATAAATCCAAAGTATGAAAAAGTCCCACTCTTATTATGAGCACTATATAAGAAGCTCCTTCTACAGTTTCATAGAGTTTTGTTTGTAAAACAAGGCAACAGACAGCAGTCCTATATTGGCACTATACTGACACTAGGCATTTAGTTATAGTTTAGCAGTTTGTCCCCAGAAATTCGGTGTTCTTCTGTCTTACATTGACCACCCATGTTTAATGCAAGTTTTCCCCAGTCCTTGAATCTTCAAATGCGATGGGACTACAGCTCCCAGAATTCCTTACCAGCATATTGCGGTGCAAGCACATTTAGATGTAACTAGGGAAAACTCTTGGTTTTTTTTTTTCATTTGAAATAAGCTATTAATATTGACTACCAATATTTTTAAATAAATGGACTATATTTATGACTGACTCACAAAGTGGTTTTCTTGTTTGTGTTCTGCTTTCATTCTAAATCTTAATAAATGCTTAATTTACAGGGCAGACATGCCTGAATGATCTGTTTGCAATTGTGACATCAAAAGTGGCTTCAAGTGTTTAGAGTCAATTATTTTGTTATTACAAGATGTCATCTTCTCTTGGCTTTACATAAATGTTTCTAATATGTAAGAAAAATAAGTATGGAACATGTAAAAAAACCCCACAGAGCTGCAGATAATTATCCCAAGAGAGCTTTAAATGGAATATACTTGGATATATCTCTAACCAACTCTAAGCAGTAAGCAATACATTAGATAAGTACCAAAAGTTATAAACTAAGTTAAGATGTAATTTGATAAAGGAGAATATTTGTAGCTCAAGGTTGAAATGAGGGGTCCTTGGTACTTTCTGAGTTTGGTTGTTTTTTGCAGAGCACCGATAATGTCACCTAGCTTAGGTAATGAAACGTCTGCAAGAAAGCAACCAGATTCATAGAGCACCAAGGACTCCACATAGTCAAATATTCTGGGCATTGAAACATGCTCCCACAATTTAGCCATTCTTTCAAAGAATGAAACTGCATTGCTCAGCCTCTCACCTAAGGGGATGGAATATCATTCCAATGGAAGTGTTCCTTTTCACCCTTTCCATAGTGTTAGGAACAAGGCCTCATTCCAGCTCAATTTACACAATTGTGCCCAGAAGTTATGCTCAAAGACAGCACATGAGTGCAAACACCCCTCCAGCCCATTTACAAGTTCCAGCAACATAATAAACAGTAGCTATGGAACTGCAGTATTCATTACAAAACACAACTGATAAAGATAGCCGTTGGCTTACAATCAGTTGTTTAATGATGGTTCAAAGTTACACGGCCTTGGAAACAGTGCTTTCAGCCTGTAAAGGGCTTCCAGCCATTTGTAAAACATGACCACTTTGGGGCCCTTGGCAACTGGCTGGCATTTACAGCTTTTTGCAGCATCCTGCAGTCAACCATGAGGTATGACTTTTTTTACCAATATCTGGCAAAAAAAATCACCCATATCGGAAAATGGATTTGCTTAAGACGTGCATAATTCAGACTTACAACTGTGTGATTCACATAACAACCACTATAAAAACAATTTTAAAAAATCAGGTTCAGTCACATGGGTGCCTCGACTTACGACCGCAACTACTTACAATCAAAATTCTAGTCCCAATTGAGGTCTTATGTCAAGAACAGCATTCAAGTATCTCCTCTATAGCAAAGAATATTGAGAGTATTTCAACAGCAGATCTATGCTGTTAATCCCATTTCTCTTACTGCAGCCCATAAGATCTTCCCAGTCATTCTAGATACATTACTACTGTTTTTTTCTGAATTGGCAATGCAAACTATAACTTGCAGCAAAGTATAAAGTACTCAACACAGACAATTTTTCTGTTTGCAATCTTTTGAGAAGCAAAATCATTGGGGAAGGGAGATTCACTTAACAACCTTGTTACTAACTTGACAACTGCAGTGATTCACTTAACGACTGGCATGAAAAGGCAAAACTCACTTAACAGATGTCTGGCTTAAGAACAGAAATTTTGTGCTCAATTGTGGACCTGGTTGATAAAGAAGCAACAGATCACATTTCCCTGCACTCCACCCCTGCCCTCCTCATGTGTCCTTAGATTTTAATGTTTGGTTTTATCTTAATTATGTTTTAATGTATATGTATAGCTACCTTTTTATGACTAAGCCGCCCAGAGTTACCCTATGGCAGGAGTGTCAAACTTGCATTGTCATGGCGGCATCACGTGACTTATCAGGACTTTTTTCCCCCTTCGCTATTCTGGGTGTGGGCGTGGCTGGCATGGGACACATCTGGCCTACAGGCCAGGAGTTTGACAGCCCTGCTCTATGGTAGGATGGGTGGCCAATACGTTTTACCAATCAATCAATAGTGCTCATAAATTGAAAGCTACCTGTACTATATTCTGCAGGCAATAAAATAGCAGCCTTTATTTCTGCTCTCGCACGGAATCCATTTTTTTAAATTTAGTTGGAAAGGTAAGAATGAGCAAAGTTAGAACTTCAGAACTTGAACTTCCCAATAAGAAGTCACAGCAGTAAAATGAATTGATGATAAAAACTGTAGAAAGGCTCACGTACCTCTCCAGGGAAGACGTTTAGAAGATCATCAGGGTGACAACCTTATCAAGCTTTGTGGTGATAATGTCTGACAGGCAGGTCCTGCCACAGAGAAGGCACACCTCCGAAGTCCCAGTGAGGTGATTTAACAGGGTACCCTTTCTGCTGAATCACAAAGGATGGGTAGAGGCTTTCTCAAATAACCAGACCTTATCCCATAAAGGGCTTTAATTAAGAACAAGCACCTAGATTTGCATCCGGAAGCCAGGTAGCCACCAGTGCAGTCCACGGAGCAGTGATGTCACATGCCCATACTGTGACATCTCATTTACTGTCCATGCCATCACATTCTAGACCAGCTATGGTTTCCAAGCGATTTTTAAGGACAGCCCCCACTGTAGCACATTGCAATTATTGATCTGTGAGGTGATTAGAATAAGAGCAACCATCTGAAGGGTCATAATTCAAGTAATTCTACTTCTTTATCGCTTTTACTTTATTGATCTATTCTGATTGGTCATGCATTTCCCAAAACAGCAATTGAATGAAGCAGTTCGTAGCTCTTCCAATTAGGTGTAAAACAAAGTTAACTCTCCTCCTCTTGTTCCATTCTCTTCTCTCTCTCCTGTTACTCCAGAAGTCACCATTACATTGTAAATGTGTAGGTAAGAAAAAAAATGGTTAAATTTAAGAGGAAAAATTATTTTAATTGTATGTTTGTAACTGTTAAGTTAAAATTATACCAAACTTCTTGGTCTTGGCTCTGCCCATGTTTTTTGCATGCAATCCCTAGTGTGTCATCCAAAAGTTAAAGGTGACGCAGCTGTAGTACACCCACTTATTAATGGTTTATACGTAATTAGACCTTTTGTGGAGACACTTTAACAAAAAAAACCATATTTTATACATTAATGAAGGGAGAAATGCTAATTTTGAATGCGTGGGAGGGATGTGTAGCTCCATCTGGAAAGCTATTTTCTTGTTTAATGATTTTTACAGCATGTCTATAAAAGGTGTTAATTATAAAAAAAATATTATTTTGGAAACAAGATAATCTAGGTGGAAAAGGTTTTGCTAAACCTTGTACACGGTAAATTATCCAACACAGTTTCAGAATATTCTGATAGCTCACTACTTGTATTTCATACATTTTAACTGGTTTTCTTTTTCTTTTCCTATTATCCTAGAGCTTGAAGACTTTGAGTATAATTTAATTGACAGAAGAATCAGACCAAACTGAAAAAGGATGCAAAATTAATCCTGGGTGTTTTGGTTTCAAGATGTGATGGTTATTGGCTTAACTGGCTTCAGATGGGAATTATGGATTATCTCTGACCATGGTTATCACACTTGAGGGCTATCTACTGTAGTATTTCAGAGGTCAGCAGAATTCCTTCACAGGATCACATGGGATTAAGTCAGTTTAAAACAATTCAGGAAATCACCTTGCATGCTCTCATGAATTTATGGCACTTTTCACAAGGAATCACATGGCTTCAGGGAGTTAATGAAGAGTTATAAGACTCACCAGATTCCATCAATTTCTAAATGAAGTTTTGTGTGCACCCTTTGTTTTTCTGCACATATATATTATCAGCCCCTCCAGTGCCTCATTTTCAGAAGCAATATATTGTTTAACATTAATTAGATCAAATAGTGTTCCTGTCTAAAGTTATTTCTGCCCACTTTTCCCTTTCAGAAGTGCACTATTTAAAATGACAAACCAAACTCCCAAACAGAAATAAACCAGATTCATGTCTCACAACTTCTAGATAGGAATGAATGGATGTTTTCTAACATAATGCCAGTTGTATGGAAGGGCTGAGATAGCATTAAACACTAAAATGCTTTATTACAATTCACATATAGCTCAGTCTCCTTACATTTTGAAGGGTAAGGACCTGGTTAATTGCTGAATAAAGAAAATCCTGTCAGAGTGCTCAACATGGGTATCTATCCTGTTTGGAATTGCTTAGGACTCAAGAAGTCAAATTTATGTAACATCAAGAGATATTGTTAAGTGTTATAATAGTGGATACATTTGACACAGAAGCATATGGTTGCTTTGTAGAATATTTTATAATAGTTATCTTCAAGGAATTACAAGTTAATTGGCTGTGGTCCCAATTCTGCTAAATCCATTTATAATTTTAACTTATGGGTGCATACATTAAAAAAATCAGATTTGAGAGTTAGTAAATTTGAATATTTATAATCAGACTCTTAGAACAGACAAATCCTTTAATCTTACATAATTAAATTATCCTTTAAAAAGATAAAATTTGATGCAACAGCCCCTATTCAAAACCTTTTGCCTCTTTCAGGTCCAGTTTATCCCACATGTAGTAAATGTCGAGATGATCTCAGATTTGAGGAAATACTTTATCAAGTCCATTAGAAAACTATATTATTAAGGATGTTGCTGCATTTCCTAGTATTAGTCTTCAACAGAAGTTCAATATGCAACAAGTCCCACAAAAACTACCCAAGCCAAAATACCTAAGCCACAGTTTATCATTGTTGAGTTCCATCGCTCAGTCATGTCCAACTCTTCACAAACCCTGGACCATAGCATACCATGTGGTTCATTACACTGTCCTTATTTATTTATTTAGCATATGGGATATCATACATGGACTAGCAATATATATTGTTATTTCATCCAGATTAGTAGAACCCAATAAAATACAAATGTTAAAAAGACTAGCCATAATAATCACATCTATCAGTTGATCCTTGGGGAAATTCATAGATTTCAAAATCTTTTCAGGTTAAATGGTTCCCCACCCCCAACTGGCAAGGAAGGTATTTTGTACTGGTACTGATTATCAATGTCTAATACAACAGGCATGTATATGAA